CGACCATCCGGGCGCACAGTGAGGGTGTACCACGAAATGCTGTATTACTTTCTTTAGAATCTAATGGGCGTTTTCCTGGTACATCCTGCAGGGCATGGCCGGGCTGGCTAATCAGCGCAGGGTACGACCATCCGATGCACAATGAGGGTGTACCAAAAAATACTTTATTACTTTCTTTAGAATCTAACGGGCGTTTTCCTGGTACATCCTGCAGGGCATGGCCGGGCTGGCCAGTGGCCCATCAAGCGCATGGTCCGACCATCCGGCGCACAACCCATGTGTACCACGAAAAGCTATATTACTTTATAAAGAATCTAATGGGCCTTTTCTGGTACATCTTGCAGGGCATGGCCGGGCCCTTCAAAACAGTGTGCGCCTCTGCAGCGCCGCGAGCCTTGTCTTTGTAAGAACCGCTGAAATTGTGGCATGTCTCTTGAATCTTACCTGCCAACGTTCTGCTCGCGCAGGATTTCCAGCGTACGAGTGCGGGTCGGACAAGGTCTACTACTCTTCGGCATCAAAGAGCAGGGCACTAATAGGTATGGTGGCAGATCTCTAGCATTCATTGGCAAGCAGAGGCTTCAAGTGGCTTTGCTGATAAGACAGCAAATGCACGGGTCCGACTTGAAGGCTTGCCATTCTGGGCACGATCAAACTTTGAATGCGCGAGTCTGGCTTCTTCAGGGCATGCCATTCTGAGCACGATTGATTGAGGGATCCCTTTGGTGCGATGCAGTGACACAACTGATGATCGGGGGCATCGAAAGCAACCCGGGGTGGCCCACACACGACCCCAACGCCCCGAGCAGCTCACGCGGGCGGCCCCTGATTCAGCTTCCGACCGCGGAGGTGAGTTATTTGCAGGCAAAAATTGCTTTCTGCCTCATGCCTCCATCCCAGGATGACACAAAGTACCGCCAGGCTACAAGTGCCACTCCCCAAAATCACCATGCCCCTTCTCACGGGCATCCGCAAAGTGTCGATATAGACCGGGTGATTCAAGTATGACGAATAATTTGGCAATCCATGTCATGCAGGAGGTTCAGGAAAGCGTCAGGTCAAAGCCAGTCAGCACCGAGCCATTTGCTACGTGGCAAGCAAGCGTGAGTTCCAGTCGCTGTCGTGGTCCCACATGTGTGAGATGCTGTCATTGAGCACGCCCATTCATCTGCACCCATCCGTATTGAGAGCTGGCATATGTGAGGAGTCGATTGATCGCAACCTGATTCTTTGCGCACTCCTTTCTTCACTCAGCAATCGAATCCGAACTGGGTGGCAGAGGCGATGGCGCTCTCGGCAGTGCAAGCGGGTCACCCGCAGGGTCAAGAGCCGTTCACTGCGCCAGGCGTCGCCCGGGAGGCGAGTATCTTACATTCCTCAATCGCCACGCGGCATATGCGCTTGGAAAGCTGGCCTTTGAACTCCTCGAATCTGCCCACTTCACTGTTCAGAAACTCGTCGAAGAATTCACTAACATCGTCGATCGACCAGGCCACGAAACCCCCCGCTTGCATGAACCATCGAAATAGCCACGGCCAGGATATTTCCCTCAAGTCGATGCACGTGCTCTTTCCTGCAGAGGCGTGTGATTGCACATGCGGCTACATCGTGAAAGATCGATGCTGCCCTTAGAGTGTCTGGGTCCGTGATGGCGCCAAGAGCAAAGGCACTCTTGATCTGCTCAGTCAAACGGACCGCACCGTCATCGTTGTACCATTCCATCGTTTGAAGTTGCCTTCTCTACTCTACTCGATCTGCCCCTAAGCCCCTTGCCTTCATTTGTCCTGCAGGTCACAGGCCCCTCCTTCAGCGGCCCGCATCCTACCAGCAATCCCCGTCCCGCTGCTACAGAGCGGACACCTACGGTGAGTCCTTCTTGGCTAGAGGCATCTTGACAAGAATCTTATCACCCTCGACCTTGATCGAACCCCTGTCGCCCCGACTGACTCCCTTCCACTTGACAGTCCCGCTCAGCTGCACTCCCCATACGGCGAAAAAGTGAGAGATGAGGTATTCGAGCCAGCTCACGTAATCGTAGAATTTTTCCCCTTTGTCCCAGACAAGAGCTCGCCTGTTGGGTGACAGCGTCCATTGGCAGTAGAAAGAGGGGAACTTTTCTGTTAAGTAGTCGAAGCCCTCGCCCACATACAAGGGCTTGATCACCTCTCGCTCGATCTTGACTGGGCGAATCTCAAGAGCTACATAAGGTAGCTCTAGGTCGTCCTCGTGACAGTGTTCGTGCACTGCTGCCAAGGTCGCACTCTCTTCGGCAGTCAAGGGGCGGGAAAAGGCAAAGCGGCCGGTGAACTTTGTGTCGTAGCCCATGATTCGATGCCCTAAGAGGGCCAAAGCGTTTCCCTAAGCCTGTGTCCATGGTCGAAATCGGATCGTCCGCGGGACCCTTTGTCCCTGAACCCTTCATCCCCTCGTTGTCTCGCAGGAGACGGGCCCTTCCAGCAGCGACCCGCATTCTGACAGCCAGCCTCGCTCCGTTGCTACTGAGGTTGCGCCTACGGTGAGTATAAAAGTCTCTCCCCCTTTGTGTAGTCGAAAAATGCCTCGTTCGGGTAGTCGTATGATTCCTCAGCGATACGCACTGCCACGATTGGGGTCATCTTGACGAAGATCTGGTAGCCTTTCACCGCGATTGACCCCGTGTCGCCCAAACAGTTACCCCTCAACGTGACGGTCCCGCTCAGCTGTACTCCCCAGACCGCAAAGAAATGGGAGATGAGGTACTCGAGCCAGCTGACGTAGTTGTAGAAGGGACCCTTCTCGTCCCAGACAAGTGCGCGCCTGTCGCGTGAGACGGTCCAACGGCAGTCGAAGGAGGGAAATTCTTTGAAGATGTGCCATCCCTCCCCACCGTAGTAGGGGTTGACTCCCTTCCGCACGATCTTGACCGGGCGCTCTTGACCCGGAGCCGCAGAGGGTAGCTTCAAGCCATCCTGAGGGCGGTAGTCGTGCACAGCCTTCAAAATTGCGCTCTCCTCGGCGGTCAGAGGGCGTGAAAGAGCGAAGCTGCCCGTGAACTCGGTTTCACAGCCCATGATTATGATGACCTTTGAGCGCCGAGGTGTTTCCCTAAGTTCAGGAGAGCCCTGCACTGAAACGGGAGTGTCCTGATGCTTGGATGCAGGAGGTCGGGCGTCGGAAGAGGACGGCCCCGAGCAGGGAGAGCTCTCCGGCGCCTAGCGGTACTAGGATACGGACCGGGATGCTGCGTGCGCGTTTGAGGAGAGGCAGTGAGGCATGATCAGGCCGAACCCGGCGCCAGGCATGTTTTGCCTTGGGCTCACCATTCTCTGCGAGCAGATCCCTATTGCCAGCTTTTGCCGACCGCAATTGAGCAGCGTCCATGAATTGATCCGTTGGCGTTCCTTGCAGGAAGCTGCCGCGACGTCTGATCAAGAGGGTGCCTCTTTCGACATCGAAGAGACATCAGACGAGACCGAGTCCGACGAAGAGCCCACATCCGAGGATGACCGGGGCATCGACGACTCGGCGGTGCCGGACGCTGAAATGCGGGATCTGTACCGGCAGATGGAGATGGAGGAAGCGGCAGCTCGGCTCGAGGGGGACGAGACCTTGGATGAGGCGCTAGCGCTAGCGCCCATGCGGAGGGAGATGCAGAGGAGGCGAGCCCCGGATGAAGCGCCAGCGACCTCTGTGTAAGTAGCTACCCTTTGCCAAGATTGTTCTAAACTTTGTAGGTTCAGTGGGGTTTGCAGTTTACTTGCACTTATCTTGGGCTGCCCGATGTCTGCAGGGTGCGCTGGATGCTTAAAAGTTGGGCCGGCCATACTCTGCAACTTGAAGGTGTACCAAGAAAGGACCCGTTAGAATCTTTTAAAGTAATTCAGCGTTTCTTGGTACATCCCCATGGTGCGCTGGATGGTCGGAAGCTGGGGCCGTCCATACCCTGTCGAAAATCTGTATCACTCGGATGGTGCAAAGTGTACATCAGCCAGTATCTGCCATCCAACATGTCCGAGGAATAAGTCTGTCATCCTCTCTTTGCCGACATGTATCCGCGTGCATTGCTAGAAGGTCGGCCGGCTCGTTGAGTGCTGCGGTGCTTCAGAATCTGCTTCCTCAATCATTCTCTGTAATTGGAGAGGCATGGTCAGCGAGGCTTTTTGGCGCACCACAAACCCGTCCACTAACATAAACTTATCTCAACAAGTGTCACTTGCACAGGAAATTTGACGTTTTACTCATTCATGAGCACGGTCGAAGGCAAGCCAGTGTTGCAGCGTTTTGAATGTTCCTACATCGCTTATGCAGACCTCCAGTGGCGCGCGAGGACCTTGCGGCGGTGCCTGAGCCTGCGGTGCACTCTGACCCGCTGACTGGCAACGAGGTCTTCAAGAAGGACGGGTTCCGGGTGCTGCGTGTGCGGGAGCACGGCACCAACTGCTTCCATCAGAGAGGGGCCAACCCAAGGGGCCGCCTCCCCGGCCCAAAGTTCTTCATGCAGCAGGAGGCGGCGCTCTTGAACCACGAGGCGCAGGTGGTCCTGCACAAGTGGTCCGGCGCGGTCGTAGACGGGGTGAGGGTTCCGTGGCGCAGCTTCGGTTCGTACCCCGATTGGGAGACAGCGCGGTCGCATCTAGAGGGGCGGCACGGGTCGGTGACCGAGATCATCCAGAACGGAAAGCCCTGCAAACCCTACCTCGATCTGGACGGCACGGACGGACTCCCTTTTAGGCGCCAACCGGTGGTCGGAGCGGACGGGGAGGTGGTTGAGGATGGGGAGAGGTACGGGGCGGAGGAAGTGATTCGGATCATTGAGAAGTGGGCCGGTGTCGTCTTCAAGGAACAGTACGACTGTGAGCTGCATCCGAGCAGCTTCGTCTGGATCGAGAGCCCGGGCCAGACCAAGTTCAGTCTCCACCTCACGATCAACCAGCTGTCTCCCCGTCAACTTGTCTTCGGCTCCAACACTGAGGGGGCTCTCCACTTTGCGAGGCGCCTCAAGAAGAGGGCGCTTCAGTTTGATCCTGCGGTCGCGGCTCTCATCGACCTGAACGTGTACACAAAGGACCGCGAGTGGCGGACGCCGGGGAGCGCCAAGGTCGAGAAGCCGGAGAGCGTCCTGTCGTACATCGATCCGGCCCATTCCTGGAAGGACGCTCTGGTGACTTGGCTGGAGCCCCCCGAGGTGAGCGCCCAAGATCCACACTCGCCACTCGCTAGGTCGGTCATCTCTCAGGGTTCTTCTCTCAGGCCTGTTACTTCTTCAGAATTTATACGGCCCTTCCTGCTTCGAAGCGGATTTTGCGCTTGATGGGCTACCCGGCCATACCCGCAGGATGTACTAGAAGAGGCCCATTAGATTCTCAAGAAAGTAAATACAGCGTTCTTGGTACAAACTGTGGATTTTGCGGCAAGTCTGAGCAGTCTTTTCTTGAAGCGCGGCCTTCACAATTGCAGAATGAAGGACCTTGCTTGAGGCGCACTCCTCGTTTTCGATTCTCAACAGCTGTGAAGCTTAGGGGATTCGTTGCCTTTGATGCACACGGTTTTTTGCAGCACGACAGTGCAAGGCTTCCTCTGATTGACGAATTGTCTTGACCTTCTTCTCGGCTTCCTCCTCACATTTTGACAGGGCGACTTAGTTTTGGCACGAATGCGCTTGTAATCAGCTGCCTTCGTGCTGTACTGCAGGCCCGTGACGAGGTCAAGCTGCCATTCGAAGTGCCCCAAAGGCTCCACGAGAAGTTCAGCAACCCTCGTGTCATGTCCGAACGGGGCACAGAGCGCAGCTCGAAGAACGAGGAGTTCGTCAAGGCCCGCATGCTAGCGCTGCTCAGGGAGCGCTTGCACCCTAGCGCTTACGAGGAGGGCCCAGATCGCTATAATTACAGCGATCGGACGGAGCCGTGCTACACGGGTCGGATCACGAGAACCGCCAGAATATAACCTGTCACCTCAACCCAAACGGCAAGATCTATGCTCTGTGTTTCAGCCAAAACACTGAGGGTGGGGACTCGGACGTTCCCTGTGTCGAGAGGGCATACTGCCTAGGGGACCTGTTCGAGGACAACATCTCGTACGAGACGGGCGCCGTCAAGGTAGACATGGAGCACCTGACGCGTGTCCCTGGCGCGTCGACCCCTGAGCTCGTGGCCGAAGTAGCAGCGGGGCGGAGGATGCCGAACGATCTGATGAAGCTAAACACCGTCGCCAACGAGTAAGTAGTCGCCAAATGAGTAGGTATTGTGATGTGACAAGCTTTCAGAATCTGCTAGGTTGGCAAGCTCTGGTTTCGGCCGCAAACCCACGTGGCGAAAATTGGGGACAACATGGAACGTGTTGCGAGACTTGCGGCGCTTCCGGGGCGCTCACCTTTACAAGGAGCTTTTCTTGTACCATGTGTCTATTTTCATGATTGCGTGCTGTATCAGCGGGCGCTCCTTGGCGCCCACCTACTGCCAGGGCTCCTTTTTCCCACCAGGTTTTCTTTTTTTGCCATAAGTGTGTGCGCAAAACCTGACGATCGTCCTCCTGTCACGTGTCCTCCTGTCACGTGTCCTCCTTTCAAGGCATTTGCGACCACTATTTAATGGCACGTGTCTGTTCTAAGATCAACGCACTAAGATCAACGCAGGGCTGCAAGCTTTCAATTTCAGGCCGTATACACAAATTTCTGAACGCTTACCTACCATTCGGAGCTGGTTGCCAGTGGAATCGACACGTTCGAAACAAGAGGCCACTGCATAGCCAACCTTTGTTGAGAACGTTGGCCTATTTCCTTCCTCAGAGTGTGTCAGGTCGTGTTGACAACTCCGTGGTCGACACGTGCAGGTGGATCGAGGGCAGATTCCGCTTGCTCGGCATCCGGTCGGGCGTGAACACTGGCAAGACGGTGTTCTGCGGGGCGGTTGGGGACGAGCTCTGGCAAGCGAGCGGCCGCGCCCACACGTCGATCATGATCACGTACCGAGTGGCCCAGGCTCAAGACCTCAAAGCGCGCTTTCCCCGCACTGCAAACTACCTCGACCTGAAGGCCGACTACGATCACAAGAACGTGTGGTTCCCGGATCCTGACAACAAGCACAACCTTCTAACGGCTCTGCAGTCTCGAAAGGACTTTCCTGAAATCGTTGTTCAGGTGGACAGCCTCCTAAACCTCCGGCGGGGCAGCATTGGCGAGGTGGCCCCGTTCGATCTCGTGATCCTTGACGAGGTGGCGAGCATCCTGGCGCACCTCTCCGCGGCGACCGTGAGGAACGGGATGGAGACCAGTGAGCTGTTCCTGGAGATTGTGCAGCGGGCGAAGCGCGTTTTGGCCATGGACGATGGGTACGGGCAGCGGGAGCACGACTTCTTTCAGCTTGCTCACGTGCCCGGGAAGCTCGTCATCAACACAAGAAGGGCAGCGGTAAGCCCCTCGAAAATCCCGTCTGATTAGTGTTGCCAGCATTGAAAGGAGTACTGCTGAAATTCTGGCCTGTTCGGATGCTGTGTGCTTTGAAGTGCCCAGAATGCAGCATGCCTTGCTTTGGCCGCTCCCTTGGTGCACCTGAGAGGGTCGGAGCGGAATTGCGAATCAGAAATCTCGGGCCTTCTGCCAGGCCCTTTCCTTGAGTTCCCCTAAGCAAGTGTGTTGCGTTGATCACCTTAGATGCAGCACCTCTTAAACCAGTTATGGGGCCCGGCCATACCGTCACTTAAGTACTAATGGAAGTTGTGTTTCATAGCGCAGCCGGTTCACTTCTGGAATCAAGGACGCGCCAGTGAAAAATGCTCTCTCACCACATTCAGCCCACACCGCGCTCATTTCTTGAACCGCTTTATGCGCAGGTGCCTCTGACGTTCCGTGTCAGTCAGGATGAGAAGAAGTGGTTGGATCGAATCATCGAGGATCTCGCAGCTGGCAAGAACGTGGTCGTTGTCAGCATGTCCGCGAAGGTCCTGGACCGCATCCGGGACCGGGTCACGTCGCACCATGCGCTTCGGCTCGCAGACACGGACATCCTCATCCACAAGGCCTTGAGTGGGGGCGAAACCACTGCTCTCCTCAAGAACGTTGCAGAGAGTTGGAAGGTTCGACTGCTCATGTACAGCCCCACGGTTGAGGCTGGCGTGAACTTTGACATTCCTTAGTTCCATACCAAGTTCCTCTATATGTGCAAGATGAGCACGACGGCTCGGGCGGCCTGGCAGGCAACGCTGCGGGTGCGAAAAACGGAGAGCCCGCTGATTCGTTGCTTCGTCCAGTCGTCCATCTCCGTGATGCTCGACTGTGCGCAAGAGATCCCGGCCACGCGACTCTGTACTCTGGATCAGCAGGTGAGCAGATTGCATGTGGTGCCTTGCTCTTCCAGATTACTTGCTTGAAGTTGAGCACGTAATTCTGGATCGTACTCAATCCGCAGAAGCCACTTGCCCTTTGCTCTTTCAGGTTACTGGCTTGATGTTGAGCACATCACTCTGGATCATGCTCATTTTGGAGAAGCCACTTGCCCTTCAAGTTGTTTCAAGCTGAAGTCTGCATCTCCGAATTTGGTGTGCTATCAGGGATTCAACTTGGTTTTGACGTGCAGGGAACGACGGCTATGGCACCGCATGCATCGGACGCGGACGACGAGTCTGCTTTGCAGGTATTGTTCCACCATCTGTCTTTCTCACTATGCGCATCGCTTCTTGTCTTGCTCGAGCCGAGCCATGCAACACACAGCAATTCAGGTCCGAGCGACTAAGCTTGTGCTCCAGAATGCTGCTTGACGGCCCTCCAGGATTACTTGTTTGCAGATGCGCTGACAATGCTGCCTGAGTAACGTGCCCCATTGCTGGAAAACAGAGATGACTAAAGTTCTCTTTACTCGCAGGATGCTGATGGCGACCGCTTGGACCAGCAAGTGGCCGCTGATTCCCCTCTCAACCGGGCGTCCGGTTCCCAGTCTGGCGTAGGGGCCTCCTCTGGCCAACATTCTGAGCGAACCAAGGTGGGTGGGAAGTGAAGATCATTGTGCCTGCCTTGAACTCTGTCCGATAGTCCGACTTTGCATGGCTTTGCAAAGCACACAATGAGCTGCAAGTCTTCATACAGAGCGCAACAGTTATGTGAGGCCCATTTCAGTCCTTGGCCGATTCTGTATTGCCTCGTTTGGGGCCAATTCCTCTGGCGCTTGGTTTGGTGGGCTACTTTTGTG